GGTAACGTCAAATCCTAATTTCTATTGCAGCCGTTTTTTTATTTCACCAAAATTGGTAAGTGATAACTTTTGTAAAGCAGAAGCAACAAAACAATTTCTCGGGTTCATAATGATGAATTCTAAGTGAGATTCGATCTCTTAAGGAATCCGCAATGCCAGTGACTTGGTTGATCATCTGTCGTTATGGATTACTTGGTGATCAAATTTTACTCAACAATATTCTTAGAGTTCTTTTAGAATGAACCCTAGAAATTGTTTTATTGTGAGTACCAATTTTGGGACAAGATCCAACCTATAAACAACAATTTCCACATATCTAGACATGTATGCTTTCAATATCTGGTACGATAATAACCGTAACCACAAAACCTTAAAGTTTTTATTTTGATGATCACCTCGATCAGTGTCCAAACTTTAAAATTTTGTAGCTGCGGTTATTGTCGTATTGGATTATCGTCGTGTTTCTTGGTTTGTTGCGCTTGATATAATTGTGTGTCTGAGTCTATATTCAAACCTTGAGCTTTTTGAGGCATGGTAACGTAAAGAAAATGTGAAACTCAATCGTTTGAAAACATATCGCAGCAACTTGTTTGATACTACAAAGAGAACGTTATATATAAAATATGTAAAGTTTTGTACCACATGGTTTATAAATGTTTTCTTGTTTTGCATGACTCATGCAAAATGAAACAATTTTCTTGGATTCAACTTTATTGTTCACACAACAATAATATATGGTGGTCCATTTCGGTTTTTTGTACTTTTTTACTTTTTACATGCATATATGTTTCGTGATTCCACTATTAACATTCACATGATTGTTTCTCTATATAAATCATCCATCACTCTTATTCTCTTTCTTGTTCATTTGCAAAAGCAGAGTAATAAACCCAAAGAAATACAAAAAATGGAAGCTAGAATTCTCTCTTGTACTACTTTTGGAGACGATAAGGTCGTGAAGATTGTTGTCCCGAATCATCGAGCAATCTCCAAATACAAAGCCGGAGAAAACGAGACAACCATTGTTGTTTCTGACCGTACTTGCTCGGAGAAAGATGTTGAAGAAATTAAGAAGTTTTGTGAGAAGCTCGGTTACGTCTACGAAGGCAGACTTGACCAAGAATACTCTCAAACCAACACTGGACCTGGTTTGGTCTGAACAATTTATGTATTACAATTCACTTTCTATGTTTTTTTTAACTCTTTTTCTGCATTTTGCTTTCTTTGTTCTTAGTTCTCTTTGATAATTTGCTGCTATGAATGAATTTATTATTACAAGTTCTTTTCAGATTAAGCACTTTTTGTGTATAACTTACATTTCTTACAACACTGACTTTGACCTTAAATCACTGGCCTTAATGTTTGGAGATGACACATGAACAATCTAACTTGTTATATAGACTGAAGTTGGTGCCTTTAGTCCTCTGTCTTTTGACTAGTAATGGAGATGGCTTCTTCTATAGCTTGAAAGAATGTCGCAATTTTGTAAGTAAAGAACCCAACCAACATTGGTATCAACTCCAAATGCATGAATCCATACTCAGGAACAAGTATTCTGCAGTTTATGAAGTTACAACCAATTCAATTTTTAGCGGAAAAATATAATCATAATGCAAAAGAGAGAGATGCTTACGCGTTCCATCTATTGAATATCATGACCAACACAACAGGGACTAGTAACCGTGGCTGGTTAGCTGCACCTCTATCAAATCATTTCCAGTGAAACCAAAGAAAGAAACAAAGATGAGTAAGTGAGTGGGTCATCTCGATATAGTTAACCGATAGGAGTTTGAAACGTATCACGTACTTCATAACTCCTCTGGCTCCATCTGCCATGGCATCTACAGAGTTACCAAGCATCCTCATATATGCAAGTGAACCGAGAAAGCCAGCACCGAAACTGTAACAGAATTTTCAACAAAGATTGAATAAATGCAATCAGATGCATGATTTACAGTTCGTGAGAGGTTTTGATGTTCTTTAAAGTAAAAGGACAAACCTAAGTGTTATCTCCGGTGTGTAAGAGATATAAGCTGATACTAAACCTACACCACCGATACCGACTGTAAGAAGCTGTAGCCTGTTTTTCAGCTGCAGAAAACAATCCTAAAGTCAAGAGTGTGGGAACTGAATGCCTCAAAAGTGTTGAATGCATATCCAATATGCCTTTGATGAGATTCCAAACCGTAAAACGAGTAGCCATATATGATAATGAAAGGAGGTACCTTGAAATATTGTTCTCTGGATTCAGCAGCCAATACTTCTGGGTCACCACGTGGCCGCCTCACTTCCCTAAGCATCACTTCCTGAAGCAGAAATTATAAAAACGAAAGAAAGAATCAAGAACCAAGACGATCTATGTTTTTGAATTCTGATCAAATGTTTCCAAAGAAAAATGATACTTGGATTGAAAAAGTGATAATTTGCAAGATAAACTTACGCTGCCACCAGTTGCAGCCTTAGTAGCTCTATCCCATTTATCTTGCTCGCGACGTGTTGGTGCAAGCTTCCATTTAGGAGACACCAAAGTGGCTTTACTCTGCTAACATTGAAAAAAACAGTATACTTCAACAACAATTAGAAGCAATGTAGCTTTATCATATCACGAAATGACAACGACAATCGCACCATCTGTTTCTTAGCTTCAGATTTGGAGGTATCAAGATCCTTTTTTACGCGCTTGGAAGACGATACAAGCTCTTTGCTCAAATCAACATCCATACTATCTCACCGATAACACAACAAAGTAACCATTTTTAACCAAATCCAAGAAAGAAACAATCTCTGATTTGTATCAGTTTAAGAAGAAACCTGTCAAGGCTCATGACTCTACTAAAGCTTAGAAACCCAGATGACTCTTCCTGTTTCACAATGTAACCAATTTGGAGCCTTTAAGAGATTTTGTGAAGAAAGCAATCAATTGTGCTACATAAAAATCCTAACTTTAAGAAGAATTTTGACCTTAGAGGGAGATGGGTCGAGAAAAGAAGAATCATCAGGAGAATCGAACAATTTCTTCATTTGATCCACGAATTCTCTGTTCCAGATTAAGTCTTTGGAGGTAATTGGATCTTCTTTTTCACCTCCCCAGTACTTTCGGAGCTTGGTGGTAGTCGGAGGACCACCGTACTCTCCGGGAGCAACGCCGGTGGACCATTTCTCCGGTTTCTTATTGGGTAGGATGATTTTGGTAGGTGGTCTGGGTAAAGAAGAAGGAGATTGATCCTGAGGAATCGGCGGTGTGGTAGATGTTGCTGAGATGTAGCTAAGAATTGCCATGGATGAGTTTCTTGTGGAGGTTA